TCTGTCATACATAGAATTTATAGCAACAATATTCTAATATATGCAAGAAAATGTAGGTCTCATAACTAAATATGATTGGAGTCTGGATTGATTAAACGTCATAGAGACGTTCTTGCTAAATTTCACAAATAGTTCAGATATAATTTCTGTCTCTGTATCTTATCTATATTGATTAAATGCAAAACATGTGGTATCGCAATGTTTATTAATTACTTATCCGTTTTAGCTAATTTGTCGTACCTGTAATAAATAATTCTCGCTATAATTGCAAGATTACTTTTCTCAGTGTATATAAATACGCATTTTCTTCTTTCTTGCCATATCTCGCATTTTAAGGAAAAGTATTAATTATATGGTAGCTGTGTGACGTCAAAATTTTTAATTGTCTTTATAATAACTTGCGCAAGGGAGACACTTTCGAATTACGTGCGATAAAGTACGGTGTTACGTACACAAAATAATCTCAACTTAGAATTTTAGAAGGAAGTAAGAAAGAAGGAAAGCAGAAAAGAGGATTACTGGAGTAATTAAATCATATTCTTAAGCGCGTCTCGCAAGGGACCGTTTTATATCTGCAATTCTCACGATAACGCGAGACATAATTTCTCAGCGCTGTAAATGTCGATTACAGCACTGCAAGGGTCAAAAGTGCGAGATTAAGTGACGAGATTTTTCATCGTATATATTTTTGATTTAGTATATAAAATGTGTCGCATTGATTAAATATCGTCACCATTTTCTGAGGACTTTGACGCTCACTGTTACATCGTGTAATTTTATTTCTTTAGTTTTGTTTAATTAAGATTACAAGAGATTTTTGGAGTTTTTGTTTCGCTGCATGAGACATGATTTATTGTTAATACTGAATGCTGTACCGAAACTGAAACAAAAGCATATATTTTATGCATAGTTAAAATATGTGTAAGATTATATAATTTGCGCACATTTTACGTGATGATACGACGGCTTATCACGCGCGCGTAATTATATCTCGACGCTGTGAAATTTATAAAATATTTTAAAAATGACTCTGTCGTCAGTCTCAGATTTCGATCGCGAATAAGCGAAATTAGGTATCACGTTCTTAAGACTGCTCGCGCGATAAAAAGCGAGAAGGAAACGTTAGAAGAGGAGGAAGTAACTGTCTTACCGTCTCATCCCAGCCGGCCTCCTTCGCTCGCCTACGTGCATTCGCGTTATTAACCATCGCCGTGTTGACGCTGTGGTGGACCAGCGGATAATAATCCTCCGCGTCGCTGTTCTCACTGCTGACATTTCCATCGGCGATTTTCTCGTCCGTTAACCGCATCGTATACTGATGCGCGTAATGTCTCACCGCCATCCTTCCCGCGGAGTCGCTCACACTCTCGGTTAACATTCACTGATATTTGACCGCGCGCGACGTCCGCACAAGTCACTCGTTCGCATCGCGAAAGGTAACGCCGTTACTCGCGCCGCGAATCATTGGGTGTCTGTGCAGCGATGTTTCCGCGGATGTATGTATAGCGATCTAAATCCGCTATCGCAGACAGGTGGATGCATGTAAAACGCGGAGGGATTTAATAACGCGGAAAGCACGTTAAGTGACAGAACATGGCACATTTCGCACATTTCGATTTAACTAATATTTTCTGAAGTTACAATATAATTTTACAAAACAGTAAGTCTGATATATATTTAATTGTAATTTAATTACTATTTTCTGAAGTTATAATATGGTTTTAATAACAATAGTAAAACTAATATACATTTATTGCATTTATTCCTTTTATGCTCGGTTAACTCTGTTAATGTTCTGGTCATTATTTTTTATTGTATTTTGTTATTACAATTACGAGCCTATAATCACAATTGACTAATATACATTAATTGCATAATAATTAACGACAATAAAAAAAATATGCAATGATAATGATATTGGTAGTGCTAAATTAATGTTGAATATATTATTTGATTTATATTTGTTTTTAATTGAATTTACATCGTCATTCAAGAAATTGCTTTCAAAGTAACCTTGTTTATCTATTCATTGAGCAAGATCCAAAAAATTGTTTTATTATTTGACATATTTATTTGGGATACAATGCCATTTCATAATTTGACATAATTTGGCTTGTCTTTCACACGATTATTCCGCGCATTTGCGTATGACGAGTGAATAGAATAACCTGTCAAACGAGATTCTAATGAACTCAATGTCACCGGAAATTCAACGTAATCCCAAACACAAACACATTTTATTACAGCTAAATTGTAGTCGGAATATCCGGATATATTAATTTGAAAACAACATGATTAGGTTCTTCATTAAACAGCTATATTTAACCTATGGCGATTCTAATTCTGTGTTACAAGTCACAATGTGAAATTCAGAAATCCAATTTTACAGTTCTAGTTTGAAACTCGTTATTAACTTATAAATAACATGAAATCTCAGTTATCTCGAAAATGTATTTAATTATATTGATGTGACATATATTATAGAATAAATAACATTTGATGTAATGATGTATGTTGAATAGAAAGATGTAAATAAATATTATATATATATATATATAT